ATCGAATCATTTCACCTTAATTACAACATTTCTGTTGATGACATTTGTTCGTTTTTTAACTTTTATCTGACAGTTTTAAACAGTACATTTTACTTCGTAATCCGATAAACTCAACCATAGGAACAATATTAGTTTCATTCTTAAATTTTTCTATAACTGTTTTATTATCATAGTAAAATCCGCTGCTTTGCGTACAATTTGATACATCCAATAATTCTCGGCTGTCTTAAAACGCTTGATACATATCATCAGATTATATCTTAAACATTAGCGAGAAGCGAGACAGTATCTGTGAATAGCAATTCTGCATCAGGCCACTTAATCTTACCAAAATCATAGTGGAAGTAGTACATTAACTTATTAGATATCTCAAGTACTACCATACCAACATAAACTGGCTTGTTCAACTTCAAGTTTGTCTTTCTTTTATGAACGGCTACTAGATTTTCTCTAAATAGCTTATTGCTAACAAAATCATAAGATGCAAGAAGTTTATAACCACATTCCACGTTTGTAACGATCTCAATATTGACTCGTTTTCTGATATTTTCCGGTATTGCCAAAGATGCTAAACAAGTTTTTTTTCTTCGAATTCTGTTTCTGCCACTGCTCTTCGGCTAGTATTGACGTCGATATAATCTTTCAACAAAAAACTGAATTTAAATTTTAGTACATCGTGAACTTTTCTTAATGAGAGACCATGATTACATGCCTGTTTCAGATTTTGTAGTGTAAAACGTATCTCCGTTTGTCAAGCAGATTAGGAATCAGCTTGTTTTTTTATTTTCTATAGATCTACAATTATTTTTGTTTCGACACTTATTCTGCCTCTGATTCCCCTCTAGATGAAGCAGAACACATTTGTGTCTCTTAACAACTCCAATTTTGTTTCACAATGTTTTAGTAATGCGTCCCAGCTTAGTCCCGGCGCGGTATAAAACCAAGCTGGGTCACGTCCGTAGTTTTCTCTGAAATTTTCAAATATATCTGCAAAAACACATCTGTCATGATAATCACCGGATGTTTTACAGTCGAACGAGTCCCGGATTGATTTAGCATAAGCATATTCATCATCGCTGACCCTCTCAAGATTTAACCAAGAATAAAACTTATCTTAGTCAGGTAAACATGTTGCATCAAATCTGCTCCAATCATCAAAGTACTTTTAGGAAAATATACCCTTTCGTGTCAGTAAATTTGATTTCTCACTGGAATGTTCTGTTAAAATATCAAATTTACCTCAGCCTTTTACTAGCATATCCAATAATGCTACTTTAAATTGCAAACTATCAATAAATATTAATTTGCCTAGTATTGCTGACGTATACTAGTCGGTGTTGTTAGTAATATTTTATTTTCATTGTTAATTTTCAGACGGTTTATTATATCCTTGTTGCCAAACGCATCAACGGTAATATGTTAATCATAACCACAAAAATTGCGAAAGACAACAGGAACAAAATCTGCTGCGGTATATTTTGAATTACATTTGTCCTGTGTTGGACCGCGATACTTACGAGTAATATGAGTGATCTTTTACACAGTCCTGAGGCGCAAGCGCCTGCTCAAAAATATTGCATAATTCTTCTGCAGCAAAATCAGCTTCTTGTTTTATTGTCAGCGGTTTATTTATTGTTGTCTTATCGAATAACATCCTGGTGACATCAGACTTGTTGATAAGATTTTTCAGAAGCCAAACACCAGGGGATTCGCTGTATGATATTTTTTTTATTTTGATAAACGTTTATGAACAGCACATACAACTTTATATGATACACCACAAGGAAAATGTTTTTGTATTTTTCTGCTCCTAACATTGGAAGTAAAATACTCAAAATCTGCTTAAATAACAACAGGCATTTTCATTTTTTTCTCCGTAATGTGTAAACTGTAATATTTTTCATCTTAGCCAAGCGTAGATATCCAGTGTACGTCAGAGCAATACTCGAAATGTCGATCAAGTACTTGATACTTGCAGCCGTGCAAACATATGACACAAATATTTGATTTACCGATCTCATACTAGCCTGTCAAAGGTTTTAACCACGCGTAATGATTTTTATAAAACAATAAATTTTATGTTGTTAGTGATGCTCAATCGCTGATCTATCTTGGCTATATCTTTTGAGATTTATCATCGACACTAAATCTGTTAATATCTCCTGTTAACAGGAGATTGTTTTGTTTTTCAAAGTTTGGAATGTAATTCTCATCGACATGAAAGTCAATCTTACTAAAGTTAAGATTGTTAACACGACAAACATATTTCGATACTCGATAAGGATGATAACGTGCTGGAATAACGATGATAATATAGCTCACTGAAGGCACTAGTCGTTATTTTTATATTTATACATTATTTTGAGCGTTTTATTTTAGTTATCACATCGACATATGAGCTGCCTCGCAGTGGATTATATTTCACAGTGTCAAATAATATTTCTTTTATTTATCAAATCTTCAACCTAATTCCGATGATGTGTTCTCATCAATTTTTTCCATATTTACTAACATATTTTATTTGACGATTTCGAATTTGTCCCAGTTAAAATTCGAGATCTTGACGTGATATAAGGATTAGCAAATTCCTCGCGTTGTTGTTGAGACGCAGGATGCTGTGATTCTTGAATCCCTTGAAGTAATATTTAGCTTAGAAAACTGAATATAATAATGGAACTATAATAGTTTGACTATTATGCGCAGCATGCTCAGATTTAATTGTTGGCAGAAGTAGATGCTACACGTTTCTGGCAGAGAACTGCTAGAAGTTTATTCAAAGATCTATCCTAAAAATGTTTATGATATCTTCTCTTGTATATCAACAATGGGCCCATTTCATAACATTATTCCTGTCATATTGAACAAATATTTTTGGGATTTCTCAAGTTCTGATACGTCATTATCTACTGCACATGCTAATGCCGAGGAAGTATCATATTCAACTAGTGCAATTACATATTTTTCCTTTTTCATTGCGTATAAATATCTTGACAGTGTTGAGTAGCAAGTTCAGATTTAAGATTTTAGCTCTGACGATGATTCATTTTTTATCTGACATCATAGTAATGTGGTAAAAGTGTTATGAACAGAATGTTTCTGATGTAAAGGTTATCAGATCATTTATCCGATCTCAATTGTGAGACTAGAGACATCAAACACTCCGAGTACAACACTCCGAGTGTGAATTACATAAGGAGTCCATAAACTGCTGGATACAAAGCATCTAGTTTGATCTAGAAACATATCTATTTCCTGTCATAGAGGATAAATTTGCTGATGAACTAGGTAAAGTACCAGAATATGAATAAATTTATGTCACATTGCAATCAGGGTACAGTGTGAAATATCATCTTGCTAAAAACATCAAAAGTTTAATAATACTGTTTCTGAGTGTCATACATTCTGGGAGATGTTAAAGTTGTTCATGAATCATGGACAGCTAGAAGTTTATGGCCGTAAAAATATATAATTTGACTGTCTGTTTCTTAAGATTTTTTAATCTGATGACCAGTCTAACAACAACACGAATACAATATTTAATATCACTGTGCATGCCAGTGAAATGTAGGTGTATCCTTTTAAAATATGAAAATATTTACTGTGACTAGATCTGATCAAATAAATTTTATTTCAAAAGTTTGTATTCTACTAAAATTGTCACTATATCCTCTCCCTTTCACCAAACTTCACTTTCCTTTCTTGCTATTACTAGCTCGTTGACGAATATATCCTGCTGTGTGCATTGACGTTCATGTTCGTAGAAACTTCCAGTAATTTCTGTTAGATCTTTTAGCTTATAGGTAACAGCTATTGCTGTTAAGATTTCATCGAGAAGAAATACTTCCTCTGACCAATTTTGGGGTGTATTCTTTTTGAATGTTTTCTTTACTAAGGAAATCCGAACCCAATCACCTATACTAAACGTGTCTTCGCTACATATTTTCATTCACCAGTATTGCATTAGTAACTGTTTCGTTGGGCGACATTCCAAGTGTTTTATGTTTAGTGTTATTGTAATCCGATACAGTCTTTGGCAGATCGTCAACATACTGGCTAGTGTGTTAAGCTGTGAGTTGGTTGTAGATCTTTTCTTTCAATGTGTGACTGAAGCTTTTTGACAATAACACTTTTTCTTTCATTTTCAGTGCCATAATTGATGATATTGTTCTGCGCTTGAAACTGCTCGAATTAATAAAACAATATACTGAGATCATTTTCAAATTTTATTTGATTTCCTCTGTTGATAATAATACCGCTTAACGCATTCGTTTATAGTTTTCCTGTTTATCTGCAAGAGGAACACTAAACCGGTATTTTCTAAAAAATATCAACTACGTTCATCAAGTACATTTTGTTGTTGTTGTACTGTGCAATGGTTGACATATCAACCCAAAGATGTCGAAATAACTCTTATTTTGGCTTGTGAAGTTTTACATGCTAAAGTATGTAGCACACCAATACCTAACTTATATTTTGCTGAAATAATATCTTGCACTAGTTTAAGATCAATTCGCTCTCGTATTTCGTTTGGTTGCATATCTCTGTTCGTCAAGCATAACACGATAACAACTAGGCTTATAGTTTTTGTTGTCCAGGTATCATATATCATGACGCATTGTAATTTCATCAATCTAAGTATAAAGTTCTTGACCTGATATTGGGCTGTCATTTTCATTCAGCTGTTGATCAAGCAGATCAAGTGGATTCCAAGATCTAGTGCACTTATGACATGGCAATGTCCATCTGCCTCCGGGTGGAGTACGAGTGATTTGGACTTTTAACATAGCTTTAACAATGTTTTCAGTAATATTGCTACGATGTCTGCAGTGTGGTATTTTATTGTGATGTCTAGCACCGGGGCATCATACCGTAAACATGTGGCATGATGTCCCACCCAGTCAGATTATCCTGACACCAGGCCGACCAGTCCTAAAATTAACCTCATAATACTGAGTGCCAAGTGAGACAGCTGTTAGCACCATTTCTTTAAGTCTTTGGTATGACTGCCGGGGATTGAACCCATGACCTTCCATTTCTGAGGTGGACGCTCTAACCACTTGGCCACCGGAGCAGTCATACATATGGGTTTCGGTAATTTACAAATTAAAGTGTGATCCATAAGTCGGATCCGATTACTATTCGTTGATTACAATACTCACAGTAAATTATTATTTTGTCATGCTCAAGACACAGATCGTAGTCAGCTTTCCATTTAAATGAAATTCACTCATTTGCATTATAAGTTAATCATCGACTAAAATAATATTAGGAATTTTTTGCATTCAATGTTCTCGAGACAGTGTGTTACTCAGTTTAGCTTGTTTAAGAAACATACCCATTTTCTGCCACGTGTAGTACAAACACTTTTCGGCATTAGTATGTTATCTTTATTTGTTTCCGTAGTTTTGTTTGTATTTTCTGTTTTACTTCTGCACTTGTGGCAATATGTTGTCATTTTTGTACTAATATGTTAGATAAAATTGAATTTTTGTCTTTTTCCAAGCTTGGTTTAGGTGTAAACTGCAACAAAAATTTCATACAATCACCCGAAGAGTGCTTTGCACCTGTGGACATTAGTTTAAAAAACATAACAAGTAATATCAACAAGCTGCAGTTCCAATTAGCTGAAGTTGATTAGAAGAGCAGTTTTTTGTTGTATATTTTAGATGAAAAACGTACTCTTTGATAATATCACTCAGAGGTAGACCAAACGAGCGAACGTAGTTGTTGTTGTAAAGCATTACTCAATGTGTATCAGATCATCATGAAGATTGTGAATATTTATAACGCAGCTTGTTTCAGCTGTTGGCAGAGAGCGAAGTGATAATTCATCTTAACTCATATAACTCATCTTTAGAAAATACTTCTTGACATTCACAGTCATCTTTAAGTTCATCTAAAATTATGAAGTTACTCAACGGCGGGTTCCAGGTAGCACAGGTCTTTCCAACGTCCTATCTCCAACAGATTGGGAAGTAACTTCCTGCTATTCCGTCTAGCAGTGGACCAATGAATCCATCTTGGATCACTTTGCTGTTTGTCTTTGAGCCGTTGTACTTTCTGTTTTTTTAAAGTTGCTTAACATTTCCGAACACTTCGTGTTTCAGGCATTTTTTTTATTACTCACACACAAGTTGTTTGGTACCGTCGCCGTAAACAGCCTTTAATCGTACCTGATGCAGCTATTCCTAATGTTCCTAATACAGGCGATAAGTATGGTAGTACTGTTTCTGCAATAGTTGCTAGTGCAGGTTCCAGAAATCCTCACTGGATCGCTTGTGATTTTGCAGTATCATTTTATTGATTTGTCTTTGTGTTAGCACCACTTTTGCCAGCAGAACGCTTTGCGTTCCATCCTTCTGCGTTCCTAAATTTATCTTCAGCGAAACAGACTGTTGTTTAATGATAGCCTGAATTAGCTTTTTAAGTTCTCCCGGCCATAAGTGTATTTCGTGTATAATATATTTCATTATATTTTATTTTTCTTTTGTTTGATAAAATTGTACTGCTTGGATAGTCATTCTGCCTTTTGTAAGAATATAAATATATTCTGCCATTTGCAAGAAAATCAATAATTCTTTCTTTTTATGATGAAATAGTACTGCTTTCTGTAAAAGTGCATCGTACTGCAAATGCAGAACACTTCACATCCAAGTGTTTACACTTGAACAGTTATTCTACCTTTTATAGAACTGACTGTAATGAATCTATGAAATACAATTAGCGCATATGCATACTAATTAACAGCTACTAAAATCTCTCCTAATGGCCATATACCTTCTATATCAACAGTTGATCCAAAAGATCGTTCTGAATGTTTTGATATGTCAAATTGAAATATCTGATAATGAATTATAAAGTCTTTGGCTGAAATTTGAGATCTTTTATCAGCATCCTGATATTTTTCCATGGCCTCCATCAGATAAATGTAAACACGAGATACACTTTTTTTTAGCTAATGATGTAGCATTATCTGAAATACTGCATTAAATTGCCCGTTAGGGATACTGTTTAGAATATATTTTGACAAATATTCATCTGACATCTGGGCTATCAAATACAGAATTGTTTTGTAGTTTTATTATTACGCTGAGTTTGACACTGCAATACAGTAAATATATGCCTTGGCAACTGTTCACTTGATGTTGTTGTTATTCGCAGTGATTTGCGGTTAACGAATCCAATCATTATGTAAAATATAATATTCTTCGTATGTTAGATAACCGTTTGATCTGAGATTATCTAACATCTCCATAACTTCTTTGCTGATTTATTTGCTTACATTTCCGGCTTCTTTTGATGAGATTAATAGCATAGTCGATCAACTGTTTCAGCTTGAGAGTTATAGATTTTGATGTCGGACCCTGATTGTACAGGTACAGGTTTATACGTTTTTGCTAATGTAAGTAAGCTGTTATTGACATTATATTTTATTGCTGATTTTTTTATATTTTCCAAAATGTTAATATATATTTCAGCGATAACACTTTTCAGTATTTTTTATCAAGACTATGCGCTTTAAAAAAATCTTCAGAATTATAAATATTATCACGGTATTCAGATTCATTGTTTTCTATCTGATAATAACTTCACATATTCATCAATTTTTGCATCTTCCATTTTTCTGATATGATGGTATGTTAATCAGAAGCTCAACGGAAGATAAAACAGAAGCAACAATAAGTGATGCCGATTTTAAAAAAATTATCTTAAAAATCTGTAGATATAATGACAGTTAACTTAAGTATGTCAGTTCAGTGAGTGCTAGACCTTGAAACAACGTATTAACCCATCAACATAAGTAACACACAAGCTGTAAGTTTTGCACAGCTTAGGCGGTCGATAATAACAAGCGGTGGAACAATGCCTAGATCAATAAACGTGGTATATAATAAAATAATAAAACTGGAAATTGAATACCCTCCTGCTGACTTAAATAACACCAACTGCTATCCATAGCATAGCAGGTTGTATAATAATAAGTTGTCTCTAACTGATGAAACTATGGCTTGGAAATATAGATAAGGACGGAAAATTAATACTTAATACTCAACTTGAAAGCACAAAGTTGACCAGCAATAATTTTGTAACAAATGTCAAGTTTGTCAAAGACAACTTCGTAATAAAATCCTGTGATGCAATGAAAGTTACCATTGACATGGGGGTTAACAAAATCACACCGTTTTATAACGAAATTGCCGCATCAAATCCTAAATATAAATATGTGGATGCTGAGATAAGTGGAGCATCAGCAAGTACAATTGCTGCTGTGGAATCCGCTCAAATTAAAAAAAAAACAAAAGGAGGCACAATTATAGATGTAATCAATGTGGTTGTCAGTAAGATAACTTATATGTATGTACCTGTTATTACATCTGATGTTGTGAATAAACAGTACTTAGATAGTGTTTTTGCAGGTTGCATAAACTAGCTAAGAACAGCGTTGGTCATATTCCACATATCGCTAATGGTGTTAATAATCGTTGGGTTTTTATTGTATCTGCATCAAGTTATTATCCTGGAAATAATCCTAATTATGCATTTGTGTTTAACAGTGCTATATCTGACAGGTTAGAGTGGGTCACAAATGGAGAAACATCAAACTTTTGGATACAAATACAGTGTCCAATGGCTGTTGCAATTTGGAAATGTCAACTGATAGGTCCAACAAAGCTTTTGTGTCGGAAAAATGTATAACTGAAGAATCGAATGATAATACAACTTGGATTACATTGTATATGGCATGTTTATGTTACTACGTCTTAGCAATATTATCCTGGACTGACTATGTTTCAAACATAATACCGTTGACAACCTAATGCAATCGTTGAAAATTTTATGTAATTGTAATATATAATGTATGTTGATACTCCATCGATCAGAGTCGCAAAATTTTTATAAGTTTATACTAAACCTGAAAATGGAGATCAAAATAGCTAATGTTATTCGCTAAACCCAGAAAGGGTTTAAGAAGCAAGAGCGGTAATTTATTTGTTCAAATGAAAAAATTAACTATCACCCGGTTTAAATAAAAACAGTGATAACTTTAATAGAGTTGCGGTAATGAGAGGCTCTCAAATGAAATACACAGAGACGTTAATATAATTACTAAATGCTGTCCTGTAAGTGAGTGTGAGGAACAGTGATTAAAAGCTGAAAAGTTGCTGTTAAATACGTTGCTTGAGCTAAATAGAGAAATTCTTTTGACGATCGACAGATCTAAACTTATAAAAACAGTACAGTACTAATCAGATTAAGCAGGTGAGTGGGAGATAGCAATGACTCTGAGACTCCTTCTTGTGAGTGGTTTCCAGGTATCCTAGTTATGTGATGGAAGTTATGAATCAGGAAGAAAGGATGGAATCATACTATGGACTGAAGAAAGCTTAACGGATTATACACCATTGATTCTGAGACTCCTTCCTATGAATGGAATTCCAGGAATCCTAGTGATGTGATGGAAGTTACTAACCAGGGAGAAAGGATGGAATCATACTATGGATTGAACAATGGCAAACAAATTGGAAACGAATATGGACATGCTTTGGATAACAGAATGGAAACACTGCCATGACTTGTAATATGCTTCATTATACTTTGAATAACTTTATTATACTCTTTTAATACTGACTATAGAAAATTTGCAGCGATGGGAATAGCTTTATCTATGTATTGTTTTAGTACTCGACTATTGAGACTGGTTCAGCCATGTGCTATTTTGATATTTGAATGCTGATGATGAATTGATAGAGCACGTGCAATACGTGAATTGCATTTACAAGGAATGTTATTGTGCAAATAGAATTAACTATTTATCGGTACCTACTGCTTCCAAAACCTAAAAACCTTAATTATAAGAAACTACTGAATATTAAAAATTTTAAAAATTATAACAATGAATGCTAATTACTAAATATTTGAGTTAAAGAAGCTAATAACCTTTAAGATTTTTCAAAACTTTCAAAATCATTTGGTGTTAACTATAATCACTAAATACTAAATACTTGGCAAGAAACTTGTGGCACCTGAGCAGTGTTCACGTGATCGCGGAAGTGCAATGTGAATGCTGCTCGTGCCTAATTAAGATCTTAAGTAAACCATGCGCAAAACAGGAAACAAAATATTTATTTAGCAATATTAAAAAAAAATCTAAACATAAAATTAACTTTACTATTGCATATACCTCTAATTAAAATTAAATTTCTTTATGCAACAGCTATAATCATAAACTATAACAACTCAAGAATTTGATATCAGAAGAAATAACTAATTTGAATGGTGTACATACCCTAATTCAAAATCTAATAAAATGAAAATTCAATACAATACGAGAAACATGTACACAATGAAGAAACCACAAATACATAAAATACCTTTAACTTTCGACGCTAGGAGGTTCCTCAAATGATGATTATCTGAGAGGAACCATGCAAATAAAGAAAAACAAAATTTAATGGTGGAAAAAATCAGAGGAAGAGTGACTGAAGAAAATTCACGATGATCTTGACAAACTTGCTGAGACTCCCTCAAGCCAGGATGATATGCTTGTTGAGTTACTGACGATTTTCCTGGTGTCAGTGAGAGGAAAGGACCCTGCTTTCCAGACCAGATGGACTTAAGCAAACTTCAGATAAATTCAGAGAGCATGTACCAAATCCTGTAACCTTGCGTTTCTTGAAGGATCGATTGGCAAGAGGGGCTGTAGATATAAGTCTGTCTTTAGTGATGAAACCTAGACAGAGCAAGGGGTTTGTTTGCTCTCTCAAAACCAAGGCTTTTAGGAAGCATCTTGTATGACAGTTGCGTCATAGGGAAAGTGTACAAAAGTTCAAATTTTGCTGAGTGAGGCTATGTCAATATCCATGATAGATTCCACTAAAGAAATAGTGTTAGTGAGTGAGGGTGGTTTGGATCAAAATTGGTTAGCAAGTTTGAGAGATCTTCATTGTGATTAAAGACTCATAATATCTGGGTATGCCAGAAATCACGGAACCTTTTCCCTTAATAATTATTGGTGCTAGCTTCTTATTTTAAAGAGATGTTAGCCCTCATTTAATTTTAAGTGGAGGATTGTCTAGTCGATGAGATCTCCAGGACTAAAGAATAAATATTTTCTACATAAGGCCTATGGGAAACAAACCATGCTAGAAGTAGAAGTTTCTCTGGACATGAGTGAAGGATTAGCTACAGCAACTGTTTGAGAATCTATGGGATTACATGAATTTTTTGGGCGCATGTCATCATGTCAAACAGATCAGTTACCTATCATTTGTCCTATTGAATAGTGGTATCAGGATTATTTTGCAATCTGTGCACCTCTTTTTCTGGATTGACTCTTAACCAGAACTGCTGGGTGGAAGGCATAGGCTCAGATTCCCTCCCAATCAATTAAAAAGGCATTATCCATGAACAGAGAGATGAAGATGGGCAGGTTATTCTTCCACCTTGAAGGTAGTCTCATATCAACATGCACAGCTGTGGCAACTTTATTTCACATTGTTTTTGAGTACAATTAACCTCAGCTGATTTGTCCGATATAAGGACTGTTTTTGAATGAAGTCATTCCTGCCAAATACAAGAGGATTACTGGATTGCCTCCATTTCTAAGAGGTTGATGTGATGGGGTATCGCTTGTTGTGTCTATTTGCCACTAACCATATTAAAGTCCTTTAGCAAATGGACTGGCCACAAAATCAGCACAATACAATGTCACTGATGGTATAGATTAACAATGTTTGAAAATTTACTTCATGCTACATCTACTTTGTCCAAATGCCTGGAGTGCTCTGTCAAAAGCTAGAACTGCAAATACTCTTTTGAGCTTGTTACTCAAAGTTTGTTAAGTTTACTTTAATCTTAATTACCTCCAGTACAGTTTTATAACCCAGCTCCAAAACCTAGTGAACTTAGTGGCTTCTTCAAGTTCTTGATATCACTCAATTCGACGTAATCCTTTAAAAAAAATGCCATGGTGATGGCAGTCATCTTTCTCAAATAAACACAATATCAACTAAACATAATTGTCAACCTTCTTGCTTTTTTCCCCAAACATCTGAATATTCCATTTTATTTTTCTGTACTGTTTATTGTACCTTTCATCCTTACCACTTGCTTGCTGAATGCCATTTTTAAAAAGAAAAAATACAATAGTTTGATCCTGCAGACATTTTACATTACAGAATATTTGCAGTTTAAAGCATCTATGGTACTCCAGCACAGTTAGTCTGCTTTCCTGACCAATTCCATTGAAAATTAATATGAAACAAGGATTCAATTCAAACGGACAAACCAGTATTTTGAATTTACTGCAAACAACTATATTTAGGTAATTTGTGCTTTTATTCTGTAAAGCCATATTTCAAGGGTAATTTCCCAAGATGAAATCTTAAGAGATGGCAGGTCTGACAAAATTTTTATTAATTTGAAAATATTTTTTGTATGCTCTATAAAAGTTAAACGTTTTATGTAATAAACATTTTGAGACATCAACAAACTTTTGTTCCCCATTTGCCAATCAACACATTATATTGCTTCTTGGTTGTTAATCGACTGCTTCCATTACTCCCAATAATGACACTGTAATAATGTCACATCATGAGAAATAAATAAAACTATAAAATATTAATATGTTACTTTCTTATTTCTATTTCAATTATATATAAATATTTTGGACACTGACAAGCATTTCGCATTCCTACAATTGTTCTAAAATCGCAACTTTTCCCTACTTTTTGGACAAGGCTAGCTTTATTACTTTAAAACTGTTGTCAGTCCTGACTCTAAAATAATTAAAATATTTCCTGCTGGTACACATTATTATAACTTTAAAACTATTGCCAGTCCTGACTCATCAGTAAGTATAATGTTTCCTGCCTGGAAAATTCAGATTTTTAAATCATTAAAATGTGATACCAATGTACTATGAATGCAACAGTAAGAAGAGTTCCTGCATATAGTTCATCATTCACAGAATGTGTCCTTGTCTACATTATGGTACTTTTATTTGATAGCTTTTAACTTATATCTTTTAATATTCTTAAAGAAGTACACATTTTAGTTTTCAATCAAAGGCTAGCTTTATTAGTTTACACCAAACCTAGTGCTTTTAAAAATGTTAAAATGTCTAAGAACATATCCTCTGAAAATGTATGGAGGTAGAATCACAATCTTCTTCCCGAGACTCATCTTCAGATGCTTTATTTGGCAAGGAATAACTGTCATCATAAGAAGAGGTGAATTTTTGAGCTTTCATTAAATTGTTTTTGTCACGTTTTTTAGAAGAAAAAAATGCAAAACTGATTTCCGATTCATTGACATTTTTTTGCTTGCAGTTTACAGGTTCAACAATGAAAATATTGCTATGTCAACATTATCCAACTTTATTGATAGATTTTTTTGAAATCCTCTGAATACACTATACACATTATAAAGCAGAAGGTGGTTGTCCCTGACATGTACAAGATATCTGCAAAACATAATGCATACAGTTGCCTGGTCCACTGGATGAAGGCAAATGTGCAATGATTTTACTTTTCTGAGTATAACTGGTTGTTTGATTGTGCCATGGTTATAAAAAGAAACATCTGTTCACACACACACACACACATACACACACACAATCATGTATTACTCCAACTGTAAACAAATATGCATATGCAGAGAAAACCAGGTGGTATTGATATTACTAGAAGTATTCAGTGTCTAAAAATTTCATCCATTTGAGACATTGATTATGAAAAGAAATGATTGGACCATTCTGTTGAAAGCTGAAATTATTATTTTGAATAAGATCAAAAGTTTTCAAGCAGCTGTGAAAAGAATTATTTGCATGGTTTTCTGCTTATTTGGAAAAGACAGCAAGGATGGAGATGACTGTAGTTATTTAAATATAACTTCTGTTCCAGTTTTAAGCAGTGGTGTTACCTCGGCAGTTTTCCATATCGGTTGAAATTTATTAGAATTAATATTTTCATTGAAATAAAAACTATACTCTTTACTCTAACAGGTATTGCTGTTTTTAGTAACCTTTGTTAAATCATACGAATCATACTTTTCAGTGCTTTGGAATATCAAATTTTATATTGGTTACTAAGGTTTATTTTACGTCAAAAATATTTTTAGTTCCAGATTATCAGATGAAATTTAAAATTAAGTTTTTCATCTATTTGAAAAAAAAAGTCATTTTTGATATGTCACTTGGATTATCTATATAAATGCCTTCATGACAGAGGGATAAAATTTCAGTTTACTCTTACATTTCCATGCATCAAATTCTATAAACACTCTCCAGATAGCTTTCAGGTTATTTCTATTTTCATCCATCGATTCTTTTTGTAGTGTGATTATTTTGGTTTTACATCATTATCAAAATATTTTACATTATAAAGATCACTTAAAATCATATGCAGCTCTACAGTTTATTAAACAACCAAGCATACATATGCAGCAAAATTGGCTCTAATGAAAAATTGAAATAATACAACTATACAGAACACATGTAATGTAAAGCATCAACTCTAGAAAAGCTATAAAAATAAATTCAATGGTCAGAGTGCGAAAAAAACTTGGAACTTTAACCCAAAGATTGGAAGTGAAGTGAACACTCTAGTGGCTAAGTGGTTAGAGCATCCACCTCGGATGCAGGAGGTCATGGGTTCAAATCTTGGCTGAGTCATACCATAGACTTATAAAACCAGTACTAATAGTTGTCTTGCTAGGTGCTCACCATTAAGATGTTCATGTTAGGACTTCTTGGCTTTGTGTCAGGATAATGTGAATGGGTGGGTAATCATGCTATGTATTTGCAGTATGATGATCTAGTGGTAGACATCACTATAAACTGCCACACTGCAGGCATCATAGCGATGTGACCAAAATTGTTTAAAGCTACATTAAAAATCCAAATCACACTGGAAGCAACAACAGACTTTATGAACCATAAAATGCAGACAATACAGGCCACTTGAATATTCTATGAAGTTTCCAAATTCAACGGACATCAATATATTTTATATTAAATGGTACATAATGATTAACACCTTTGCCTCAATTTTAAAGCCCATCTGTCAAAAAGCTGTGTAATTAATGAGACATATTTATGTCTGTGTATATGATAGATACTTATGTTCAAACAGGTCCTTGTACTCAAACATGACCTAAAAAATCCCTCCATGAAACCTCTTAGAAAGAAGCCAAAAATGTCAATCCAGCATCTCATACAATATGGACAATTGTATCATAGTTTTGTGCGGTGATAGTACATAAACATATCGAGAACTGGTATGAAAGTGATCGGGAAAATATAAGGCCGTACTGATAAAATAACAAGGATATGACAGTCATATTATAGGGTCATGTAAAATTCAAGCTCACATTACACACTTAATTTTATCACACTTGACTAGTTCAAATAGCACTGTAAAATGTCCATTGTACAGCACCTTTCCGCAAAATTTCTGTATATTGTACAGCACCTGCCCACAAGAGTTCTGTATATTGCATACATACCAATCCCTGGCGAGGAAAAAGCATAATCCAAGTGGATAAAAGAAAAAAATCTGAGCAGAAAAAGCATAATCCACATCTAACATAATAAAATTCAATGCACATATGTACAAAACACATGCATATTTTCCACAATTTGGGCATCAGGAAGCATCCATTGGAACAAAGGACCAAAGTTGTATTATATCACTAATTGTAGTCAATATTCTTTTAAGAGCTCAGTAAATATCACCCCTGCATTTATAAAATTCATTTCCACAATTTAGTTCTGCTGTAAAAAAGTTACCTTAGTAATGGAGTTTGCAAAATGAGCTAATTCAAGGCATCTTTGTTTTACACTATGACCAATATTAAAATACTTTCCACACAGCCTGCAATGGGCATGAAGCTACCCTAGAATGGCACTGTATTAGTATTCATGTATTCATTTTAGTCATTTTTTCCAGTTTTGTTTTTTCTTTTTAATCCATGTGAAATCATTTGAGAAACATTTTTGCTGTAACATACGCATCAACTAGAATAAATAGGATGATAATAACAGCCAAATTCATACAGAATAGTTCTGTACCTTTCATTATCTTTAACGAAGAAATTAAAAAACAGCTGCTATAAATAGAAACAGGTCTTCTAGAAAATAGGGCAGACACTATAAATAGAACATAACACTAAGGAAAGTCACCCCTAGTCTACAGACAAGTGTACTTTTATGTCATAGTTAATCAGAAACCGTTTTTTTCTAGAATACATTTTGTGCGATTAGTGGGATGTTAATAAAAATGAGAAAACAAATTTTTCTGTGAGGGGGATATGCTGAAAAATCATAATCCAAGTACATTTATGTGTAAGGCATAATTTAATGAATAAAAGCGAAATGGTTGGCATGTATGATATGCATAGCACATGCCAACAAAAGTACTACTTATTGCACAGATTACTGTAGATGCTTTTTTGAACACAAACTATTGTGGCAGAATAAAATACATGCAAGCAAATGCATCTTTTGGCAAGAAATCTGATTACCCTAGATGGTGATGGCAGTAGTAACATCATTATTACTTTCCTTGCGCTATGTTTTCTGAAGCCCCTAAAAATGTTATCTGTGTGATATTAAGGTAAAATAAATCAATTCCTAACAAAACTAAAAACAACTTGTGGGGGGTGGGGATTCAGGTTGGTATGGAGCACACTTTACTCTTTTATTCATTTCTGGAGTTGGCTCATTATTAATTCTGTTGAAAATTCACTGATTTACATCACTATAAACTACCACACTGCAGACATCATAGTGATATGACTGAAAAATTGTTCAAGCTAAGTTAAAAATCCAAATCATACATACACACACATACATTACAAAGATCACTTAAAATTATATGCAGTTGTGTGTGTGTATATATATATATATATATATATATATATATATATATATATATATATATGCAGCTAAATTTTACTAAAAGATGCCTCATACTCAAATGTAAAACATTTGCCAGGAAAGTTATATATAATGATTAACACCATTAATTGCCTTGATTATAAATCCCCATATATCAGATATTTGAGTAATTAATGATGAGATGTATAAGTCTATCTGTCAGATAGTTAAGTAATTAATGATGATGCATAAAGCCCCATCTGTTAGATGTGTAATTAATGATGAGACATAGTTATGTCTATGCATATGACAAACTCCCACTTAAGTTCAAACAGGTCCCTGTACTCTAACATAACCAAGATCCCCTCCATGAAACCCTTTAGAAAGCAGCCAAAACATGTCCATCTAGCATCTCATACAATAAGGATAACTGTATCACTGTTTTAAGTAATGATGGAACACAAATATATAGAGAACTGGTATGAAAGTGATCAAGAAAATGGATATATATATATATATATATATATATATATATATATATATATATATATATATATATATATATATATATATATATATATATATATATATATATATGCATCTGTGTGAAATGGATTTATGGCAGTAGATCATAAAGCATACTTTTCTTTTTCATATAAAATACATGGTTAATATCTTTTGTTTGAAGGACTGGATTTACATAGTAGTGGAAGGACTCTAAAATATTATGATTAGGTAAAATATTTGAAGAAACAAACATCTAAAGGTAGTGGCAGACAGGGTTGGAGGTTGGAGAGGTATTAATTCTCAAACTAAAATCTTTACCATGGTTAATGCTTTCAGGAGACATAACTATCAGCTTCCTATTGTTCTTTAAAATCATTTCCATTTTACTCTTAGACCTGGGCAAAATTTCATACCAGTTTGCAAATCAGTATTATCCACTGCACTCTCAACTCCACAAATACCATGCTTTACATTCTATAGCTCCAGCATAAACATCATCCATTTTCAGCACTGTTCACAAATCAGTCATGATGGTGATGAATATTTTCATTTTCCAGCATCTTCATGACTCTGAGAACAAGCTCCTCTTGGTATGGCAGACCCACACACTGGACACCCACTGGCAGACCAACAGTATCCTCACTGTAATACTGCAACACATAAGCAATAGTTAAGTGTTCCAAATTAGACACTGAGTGCCACAGATAAATAAACAAGTGTTCAGTGGAAACCAGTATATTACTTGTATCTATGTGTTGATATATCTCCAACATATCTGAGTTGCAAAAACGTTAACAATAATGTCATTGCAGCTAAATAGCAATATCTATCTATGCTGCTAATGTAGATGAGCTAATCAACAAAGACGGGATCAAACTGATTTAAAAAAATAAAATGTTTGCTTACACAGCTGAAAGGAAATAGGAAAAGAACCTGGTAGTCCATCCCACTTCAGAAACCCATATACAGCACTTTCAATAAATAACTTACTTGATTTATACAATATTCTCAGAGACCAAACTGAAAGATTTTTCAAGGGCTTTTTATAATTATTTCAAAGGCCTATTTAAATTAACTTGCAAACTACTAAAATCTAAGTCTTAGATTATTTTTGTTGTGTTCAGCAGACCTTCCAAACTGAGAATAAGTGTGAACATTAACATATATAGAAAAACATTTTATACTGACTGTGAAATACAAACTAACACAAGATGAAATGATATGGTCCATACTCTGCTGCATGTCCAACTCATGGGTGTTGGGGCCAAGACACAGCCTTAATTCCATTGTTGACTCAGAATGGTTCAGATTACTTGCCATCATCCATGACACAAACTAGCATGCCTTCATCAAAACACTGAATCATCATAATCAATTTCTCTGGGCAATCAAATTTCGCATGACCTTCCAAAAATTCCCTTCACTGACTTTGCCAAAGACTTTGTATGGTCAGTATTGTATACAAGTTGAAATTTTGTTCCTGGTATATTTCATCAAGTTGAAAAGCTGTACACACCATGCCTGGTCTTTGGAAGCCACACTGACTCTCATCCAGAAGTCTTTGATGTGATGCACAAGGTGATTCTACAGAATTTACACTATGATTCTTCTGGCTATTGACAACAAAGACATGCCCCAATTGTTCTTGCAGGACTGTCTGCTGCTTTTCTGATTGTACAAATGGGCATCCTTGTAATTCCATAGTATTGTTTCTTTTGTTCACATTAACTGGAAGCTCTTTAGTAAAGCAAGGAGTGAATAAAATGGGACAAAAGAAATTTTTCAATAACAATAATGCTTACACAGAGATTTCAGTGAGAGGAGGGACACATCTCAAGCCAGGAGGTAAAACACTATCAGTCAGTAGGATCACATCAATTGTGTATGCTAACATCACATTCATTCTCTTAACATCACCTTCCTGCCTGACAGTCTGAATTGTGCCAGAATCAAATTTTATGGCATTCATTTGGGATTCTATATATTTCAACTCTACTAGTTCCCAAACAAGCAGTCCCCAATCTACTTTATTCAATCTAATCAATTGAGCATTTGGATTCACTAAACAGATATGTTTATTGCAAGTACTTAATACATATAACAATTCTGCTTCAACTTTCTCAAGACCAGGGGTACAGATATTTTGTCAAAATGAAGTTGTCCACAGACAATTAAAATGTTTCCTTGTCCATATAAAAGACCCACTTGTCTGTATTTTCATAGTTAGAAAGCCTAGTGGAATATAGGATTGTTATAATGTTTACTTTTTATTCAGCTGCACCATTTAA